GGGGATTATATAGATCGAGTTACGGGTTATTAATATGAGCGATTATATTAGACGAGAGCGGGGTGGTCGCGAGCTCGGGGCAGGACTCGATGCGGCGATATATATATATATATATATATATATATATATATATGTCGAGTTAATCTAAAAATGGAAGACATGGGACACACAGGGCTGCGGAGAGACTCGCTCCGCGAGAGATGAGGTCGATAATTTCATCTGGAAGACGGATCGATCCTACCGGATCTGGATCCTCTATATGGATCTAAATACAACGACGCGCAACCCTTGTAACTTGCAGATTTTTTCGAATTAATTCATTGATAATTATACAAATCAAAGACTCATATAATACTGTTCTATCTCTATATTTAACGAACATGGTAAATAAAATTTTTAAAATAGTATACGAGTGTAATTGTGTCAATATTTTATTGTTTATTATAAATTTGTGAGTGGATTTGAGAAAAACAGAATGTCAAATATATTATCGAATCCTTTTGTTCAAATTGCAAGGAAAAGGTTGCGTGTCGTGATCTCAGATATGATAGAGAGCGATTTGCTCCTAAATCTTAGATCAATGAAAGGCGAAGATACTTTATTGAACTTGGGATCCTTTGTGTGACTCTACGATATGGCAAGAGAAGGAGATAGACTTGTTTCACTAAACTTCCTTGAAATTCAAGCGATATTTCTTTCAACGGAAGACAAAGTTTCAGATCAAGAATAACACTCTTCCATCATACGATATGAATTTGAAAATAAATAATAAATGTTCGAGGAAAAAGAAGATAAAGAAAGAACATAACATCAAATGCAATGGACACAAAAAATTCCCAATCGAATTATTGAATTATTAAATAATTGATATTTCATTCTCTATAATGTTTCATGCAACTCAAAACAATTTTTCGAATGTCACAATAAAAAAACTATTTTGAATTCAAAACCTACAATGTAAATAAAATTTTCAAAAAATATTGAGAATAATAAAATTAAATATAACTCTTAAAATTATATATTATATTTAGAATTAAAAATATGTTTTCATTCAAAATAGTCGCTGCAAATATGTCACGAAAGTGCAATAAGGATTTGAAATCACATTTGCAAATTTATTGCAAATAAACGGAAAAATGTATTAGAATATAAAAAAACAGTTAAAAAGACTTCAAACAGCTTATCATTATGAGACAGCTCAAAAATGATGGTCATGAAAACTGAGACGGCAGCAATATTTGTTAATGGGATTTCAATGAGATTTCGTCCTCGATCTGTCGGTCAGTCGGGCCGTTCATCACTTCTCATTTTCCCTCGCTAATATCGGCCTCGGTCACGTGAAGGTCAATTTGCGTATAAATTCATGTCGAGCTGTCAACCATTATCATAGATCTAACAATACATTTTGTTTCTGAAATTTGTCCCAATTTTGCTGTTTGACCAGAAATATATATAAAAAAGTTTTCAATCAATTCTTTAAAAATAAAAAAAAAATTCTTTGAAACTATTTATATCATCAAACAATACTTCAATAAAATATTCACGCGATTATGTTCTATAATTTAATGATGCGAATACATATTATATCTGGAAATATAAAAATTAATTATTTTTTCTACATATGATAATATGCCCAAATTTAATCCATAAAGCAATGATATACGCGTTTATAATCATTTCTGATGGTTATAATTTATTCTCATAAATATATGTGTTTTATCAATATTTATATATAATTATAATTATAATAACAAATAGTTATATAATTACAATTATAATAGCACAAATATTTATATATAGTTAGAAAATTAACATAATTAATAATTAATATTTAATATGACGTAAAAATTAAATTTTGATGAATATCGTGATTATTTCCTTTCATAAAAGAATGTGAAAAAATCGATATATTAAGAAATGAGATATAATAATCGTACATAAATAAATAATCAACGCTGTGTGCAAATTAAACAACATAAGTGCATTTTGACATATATATTGCAATGTTATTAAGAAAATATATAATTACCGAACTTTACATTTATTATATTGTTTAATAAACTTTATCGTAATACAAAATCATAATGACTAATATGTTGCAGTTAAAATGATAATACAACAAAATGTCAAATCTTAACTATTACGAATTTCCGCAATCGCGATAAAAACATTTTAAAAAATAACACAACTATTGAGATTTTCTCAAATCACAAAAGCGAGACAATTTTATTTAAGTACTTTGTGTGGCATCCGAAACTATTATTCAGAATGATGAAACGAAAACAGATAATGTTACATCAGAAACAATTAAGAAAATAAGAAGGAAAGACAGAAAGACATATAACCACATATGAGTGATTATTTTATTCATCTCGTAAGATACTTGAAACGATCAATACTTAAATATTGCAAAACATACCAATTGGAAAAGAAAATATACTTGAGAAAATTAAGAGTCGCGTGATAAGAAGACAAATGCGAATTTCAATGTAATTTCAATGTAATATAATTTGATTGTGATAATTTCGTCTACGATAAATTTTTATAAATGAATTCGATACAAAAACAGATTCGGTACAAAAAAAAACAACAAGATAGATGTTTTCTAAAAGAAATATATATTAAATAAATTGTAAGTTCTAAAATTATATCGAAAAAGAGAAAGGCAATGAAACAATCACGAAAAATAATACAAATTCAATATTATTAAAAGAATAATGATGTTCGTATAAAGTTATTGTATTATTTAATTCAATTTAATTTATCTCATTTCTCTATACAAATAATATTTTGTACAATAAACTTGATTGATATAAATAATATGAAAAAATGATAAAGTAAATAATTACGAGGGGAAGAGCAGAGAATTCTCAATGAGTTTGTCATTACTCTACCTTGATAACTATGACACCGATTTAGAATTTGGCAAAGAGATAATATAGTGACTATAAGATAATGTTTTTAGACCTTTGCTAGGAGGTATCTACAAGAAAATCCCAACTCGCCATAATTAATGTGCGAGAAGATTTTTCGGCCAATGCGTACCTGAGTAATCTTAGAGATTAATCAACAGTAACGTAGCGAATCGGAACGCTCGCATACTGGACACCTCATTGGTCTGCCAATCTGGACATTTTCGACGATAAATCTCTGGAAACCAAGCGAGCGAAACGTCGGCGATCCGATTAATCGCTGCGCCCTTATGGAGATTAGAATCGAGATTATCGCCTGATTCCTGAGAATACCAATTCAGAATTTGAAACGAGTAAAGAGAGATAGACAACATAGATCGAAGCTCTGGATCCTCTTCGACAGTCAGGATATATTGCTAATTGTAAGATTCGCTTCCCACTTTAATCCATGCTATTAAGGATACTATTATAAGGATAAATAAGATTGATTGCGTATTAAATTTCTGCTCTGCTGTTTCCAATTCAGTCTTCACTCTTCCTATTATAAATGTCATTTTTATACTTTTTGAACTTAGATTTCGTTCCCTTTCAAAAAAAAAAAAAAGAAAAAAGTTTCTTTTCTTTAAGAGCGTAATTATTCTCATTGTAATTTTATATATTTAAAAAGCTAAAAAGATAAGAATAAAAGATATTTTTGTACATTAGAATTAATAGTGTGTTTAGGTGGTATACTAAAATTCTTATTTTATACACACATACATATTTATATAACATAAATTATATATTCATCTAAATAGACTTGTGTGCATTTTTATAATCATTATTTCAAAACATGATAAAATATATAAGATCCAATCTCTAATTAAATATAAAATATTATATTAATATATTGAGCACCCATAATAAAAGGACCAAAAAAAAAGAATAAAAGCGACATTTGCTGAATCTCTGAATGGAAACACAGATTATAATCTCTTTATTTAGTACAGTGCACTACATTCTACGAGCACGTTGAATCCACATTGAATTTAATTCGCGTAATCAATCGTTCTTGAGTCTTTTCGCAAAATTACTTGAGAATCGAAAGATTCGATCTGAGCGAATAAAATTATCTCCATCAATTTCATTAATCTCTTGAAATTCACAATTTCTTGAAGAAAGTTAATCACGCCGAAGGAAAACTGGCGCAGTAATGATGATTAAATTTGAGTTAGAAGAAAAGTTGCACAAGATATTAACGACAAGAGAAACAAAGATAGAGTACCTGCAACGCTCTATAAAAAGAGAATATGTGCAGTTATCTATTTTCTTCTCCCTTAGCGATACACGTATTGCAGTTAGTCTTTGTCGCCAGAGGCCGTAGTTAATTGTAAAGTTTGGCTGAGAATGAGTAGAGCAACCCTGAAGGATCAAGAATTAGCTGAGCTGTGACCTAAAGTCGTTCATTGAGCTGGGAACAGCTGATTTCCATTAGCAGCGGTGATTAAAAGCGCTCCCATCCAAGCTGAACACCTCCTCGAAGACGCTAGTTTAATTAGGATTCCGCAATCTGGCCGCAATTGCAGTCTTCCACGAGTTGCGTTCTCATCTCGATTTACTTATTTCACGCACGAAAACGAGGAGATCTTATAAATAATACTTTCGTCGCGCTTGAAGCATCAGCTTCAACAACTCAAGACTCGGAATATACCCCTATAATTCTGCGAAATATCCGCAGAGATTCGTTCGCATCAGCAATTTGAAAACTCGAGAACAAAAGAACAAGAATCGAGTCTGCTTCTCGCACCCGATATCCGACGATCGATATCCGGTGATCGATTCGGGCGGGCAGAATAGTCGCGCCGATATAGTCCTTACCCCGACTCACACCCTGGTCTCGTTGTACGGACTGGACGAGCTCGCACCCTGACGACGCTGCCGATCAGCGTCGCCCGGCACATTGAACACGACATTCGGCACGGTCGCCGGATCGACCGGGGCCTGTTGATAATGCGACCGACCGGGTTGCGATTGATGAGAATGGGAGGAGGACGAGGGCGCGGTATCGCTTATGGAGGTAATCGAGGCGAGTATACGTCGACCGCGTACCTGATAACGTTGAGGGTAGCAGCGCCCGCAGCAGGACTGCAGCAGGCCGCCCCTGGAGGCAGTGCTGTGCGCGGGTGAGGTCAGGGGCGACGGCGAACCCGGCCTCTTCGGGGCACCGTTGAACGGCACCTCCATCTCCACGAATTCACGGTCCTGGAAAAGACAAACGTTTCAAAGCTGTTGTAGCGTAAGTAGATGAAATGAAGAATGCGAAAATAAGGACGTATATTCGATAAATTAGAGGAAAAAAATTGAGATGAGAAAAGCAGAAAATGGATGCTGGAAAAAAAAGAAGATCCGGGAGAATTGACAATGAATTGTGATGTAACTCAAGGACGGAAAAATAAGTCATTTGTGAGGAAAATGGAATAAGAAAAACCGCGATGTACTACAGGATCCTTCTAGTTCCATTCATCTTATGAAAAAGAGCAAGGAGTTGTGAAGCTGAAAATGGCACCAATTCTCAAGTGGGACACATTAATTAGAACGAGTCGCATTACTGGGAAGCTTGGTTTAAGCTATGCGAGATAAAACATGGAGATAAATGCGCTGTTGTTGGAATTATTACCTAAGTAACTCCATGCAATATTGGACATCCTAAAGAAATGATTCAAAAACATTGTAGCTTTATCCACGGTACATTTATCTACATTAGTTACAACGAGGGAACATATCTATAAAATTATCATCACACACGTTTTTATATAACCAGGCGTAATACATTTATTATCTAATTGATTATTTTCTTCTTTGAATATTTTACATTAACGTCAAAATGATGAATCGCGTATAAAGTGTGTCGTGTCAGAAATATATTAGCACGCTTTTAGTATAATCACGTTTTATACTTTGTTGACTATGTGTAATGTATTCTGCCCAATATAAATCTTTATCAATATATTCTTTATTTTTAAAAAATATTATATATATATGTATATTAATTTCTAGCGAGTAATAAATTCTCGCTACAATTAATTAATTAATTGATTTTAATTAAACGTTGCAAATATTTCGATTTCTTGACAAAACAAGATACAACGAAACTGTATTTCTCCATATATTACCGTCCTAAGTTCAGCTCTTGCCATGTATTGCGTAAATTTATATACAAAGTTAGTGGTTAACCCGAATTACAGCGAGACGAGAAAGCAAACAACGAAGGCTTTCAATTGCTCCTCGTTGTTGCATTATTCTATGTTTATGTTCCATTTACCTGTTCAGAATGCATCTCTCGCAGTATCTCGTCTTAATTAAAAGAAATTGTTAATTTTTTTAATTACACATGCATGTATAATATATTATTACATAAATGTAATACTTGTCTATTTGCTTCAGAAAGATTTTATTTCAATTAAAGTCAAAATGTTTTATTTTAGTTAAATATATTCTTTAAATTTATTATTAAATATAAAGTTATTTTCAGTTGAATATATAGTTTTAATGATAACTTTTTCATATTATCTATTTATAATTTTTCATACATTGTTCATTAAATAGCTAAAAAACACCAGCTAAAAAGATAGACCACTTTTCTTTAAAAAAAATAATATTTCGTATTGTATTTCGTAAAATTTTTACTTTATGTTTTCAAAAAAATATTTCTTTATTTTGATTAATTATGTGCAGCAAAAGTAAATATTACACGAAGAAAAAAATGTCCAGAATATTGCAGATTGTTTAAATCTATCAATATGGTAGATTTTTTATTATAAATTATAATCTAAAAAGCTAAATTATACAACTTTGTAAAAAATGTATTCTATGTCAGATAATTTCTGAAAACTTTTCTTAAATATTTTTTTTTTTTAATTTTCTTATTGTTAGTTAAATTATAGACGCGATTTCTTATTGTTAAGATTGTTTAAATCTATCAATATATGGTAAATTTTTTATTATAAATTATAATCTAAAAAGCTAAATTATACAACTTTGTAAAAAATGTGTTCTGTGTCAGATAATTTCTGAAAATTTTTCTTAAATATTTTTTTTTAATTTTCTTATTGTTAGTTAAATTATAGACGCGATTTTTCATTGTTAGTTAAATTATAGACAAGTTTCAGTAGATATACGAAACTGAATGACACAGGATTCTATGATGCGCGTGAGAAACGAGATGTCTCAAAGAATTCCTGCGGGAACGATGCTCGGAAAACGGGAGGTTATCGAGTGATCTCGATGTCGGCCGAGTGAACGTCGCCGTTTCGTCGGTGTCGCGAAAGGATATTGCTTGTATAGAATAGAGCAGCACCTTGATCTCCTTTGCGATAAATGCCCTCAAAACGACTCGATGTGATCCACGGAAACTGAAAAATGTTTTTCCGTGCAAAAGCTGATGATCGCAAATGCGATAACTCTTTTCTCGCCATTTTGTATAATTAGCTAGTTCATATGCTATTTAATACAGTATGATCCACGAGATTTTACCGGCTCTTCAAGAGAGCATCTGACAATGAGTTAAAAAGTTCAATTTATAACATGGGTCTTACATTGAAAATTTAATAAACCTAACATTGGTATTCTTAATCCTAAGGTAAAAATAAGCACTTTTAGGAATATAAAATTAAATTAATTTATTAAATATTTGAACAAGTATTATTGTTATGTACTTGTATGAAGGATAAAGCATTGTGATTTTTATTGTATATATAATTTTTATATATTAATATAAGCTTTTTAAAATGAGTTTTATTTAATATGAACTTTTTCTTAAAATGACCTCAGGAGTGCTCTTCTGAAGCGCCGATAAAAGCTCATGAATAGTACCCTGTATTTATATTGGCAGATTGCTTTCGCAGATTACATCGATTAGCATTGAGAAAATAAAAAATCCATGTTTTGTATTTTTTACGCCGATATTACTCTGTTTAATACAATTTAATATAATAATTATATATAATTATATATGGTTAACTTTCTATTTTATTAATAACAATTTTGAAAATTTAAGCTATAGTGCATTAGTATAATAAGGGAATAAGAAACATTGCAAAATGTTTATTATTGTTAGTTTATGATAAAGTGATTGATACATATATATGTATATGAAGATACTTTTTTATTGATATCATATACTGAAAAGTTACCACGTTATATATGAAGTGTCAGCTGCTCAAGCATCTGCTCGAAGAATTCCCGAGGAAGCCATGTATGGCTTTCAAAGCTACAGATGACTTGCATTCGAGCAAACTCGATCTTGGAAAACTACAGGATTACTCACAAGAGACTATTCGTATTTCGACGCCCAAGCTTTCTGAAGAGACACGATTTGTTCTCATAAAGCCCTCATTATTCGAGTCGGTGTATTCTAATGCGCAAAAGTTACACAATTTGTACGAGACACATTGCGTAGAATCATCAATAATAATGTCACAAAATCCACTAAAAAGATTTTGCAATATATTACTCAGATTATAAATTCTTATTTCTTCTCGCTAAAAAGATGAATTTTGAATTATACAATTATGAAATTTATAAGATTGGATATAATTAAGAAGTTTTAGAAAAAGTAACTTTTAACAGTTAGTTATAACAGTATACTTCAAAAATGATCAAAAACCTTATATAAAAAAAGATTTTAAATATCAAAACAAAATATATGATTAAAAATGCGATAAATTTTTATCACAAGAAAGAAATATTTGTCTAAATAGTGTATATTATATAAAAAAATGTATGCACAAAAAATTACTTTTTCTCTTTCTTCGTATATATTCTCATATAATGAAGAATGTTATATACGAATTATAAAATAATTACCATATGTATACATATAAAATAAGTTTCTCCTTGCTAAAGAATTTACGAATTCAAATAACCCGTGCGACATGTCTTAAGAACAAAATTATCATTTTTCCAATTTTCACCTGGAATATCTAATTTTAACAAAAAAATCTCCGGATTCTTCTCCGACCTAAAAAAAATCTGAGAGAGATTCTTTACAAATGTAATTAAGTACAAAATTTTATAATTCTATAATTTTCATAATTTCTTTTCTATTCCCTTGAAAAGTCACATTAAATTTTATAATATAAATAAATTCAAGAGAAATAATAGTAACTAATAATTTTTGCCTCGCAAAATGTAATCAAGTGAGTAATATAATATTCAAAAGGGGACACATTTCATAAAATGGAGATTATTTTGCCGATCTGTTTTATTTGTTCTTTTTCCTTTTTGAAAAAAGGAAGCTCTTTAAGTACACATTTATATAAAAATGGTAAGGCCCTGCCGAAGGATTATTCACGAAAGACCGACCTATATTCTATCGGGCAGGATCTCTCTTGCTACCATCAAGAGAACCAGATTAGACTCATTCTTATCGCGTTGCGTCCTCGGGAGGGTAACTGAGCGTAGGAATAAAACAAGAGGAGTCACCATGGAGGCAGAGATATCTGGTCCAATAAAAGATGCCGCTCGTCTCCCATAGCCCTGTTATTTTCTCGTGAGAGCACGTCATACGCTCCTGCGCGTATTGTTTGCGCGGGTAGCGAGCGAAAAAGAACGCCGCTAATGACGGTTTCAGAAAGATGGATTGGTCGGATGCGCGCCAGTGTGCGATGGACCGATCGATCGAAACTTTCCAATCCTGTACTCTGATAGGAGAAGAATTAACGCGAAACTAGAATATCCTCAGATTTACGAGCAATGCGGGTTTATTCTCCTTCTACATGATACGTCTATCGCTTTAAATTTCATGTTTAATCAAGATTTTCCCTACGTAAACTGATTTTTATCATCATTATCGATTCCGGCAATTATGATGATAGATTATGACGTCAAAAACAACAAATCCTATAAGAGATCCTTCCTTATACTCTAGATATATGTCAAACTTTTCATATACAATATCGCTTGCTTTTCATCAAATAGAATTGTACTGAAGATTTTTTAAAAGATCTATTTATCAGTATAAATTATCGCGCCTAATTTGATCTGTACATTTTATATATTCAAATTAAAAATATAAATTAATAATGTATCTTACACAGAGAGAATCCTCTGAAATTCGTGATAATCGTAGGACAATATATATGTAGAATTAGAAAAATTTTATCAAAGTTTCTCTGATTAATAATTACCACAAAATATTAATATCTAAATAAAAAGTATTAATATTACTATCACAATAAGATATAAAATATGTTTGATTAATT